CTCCCCCACTTCTTATTCTCCACGGTTCTCAGCCTTGGCTGCACATTAGAACCATCCAGGGAGCTTTTCCAGTTCCCTCTGGACCCATTCATTAAAGCAGAAACCCTGAGGGTGGGAACAGGTGGAGTATTTTTAAATCTCTCCAGGTGACTTCAAAGCACAGCCAAGGGCAAGAACCACAGCCCAAGTCCGGGACAAATGCGCTGAGGATGCCACCAGATGAAGGTCAAGTTCTTGAAGGAGAAAGACACAGGAGGCAGGCACACACAGTGGCCCCGGGAGTCAGAGGGGGGCAGCACTGAGACGCTCACTTCCTCCCCTCCCCCTGGCCGCTCTTGGCAGAGCCACGGGGAAGAAATAAGGGGTGGCTGGGCGCCCGCAAGAAGGCACGGGCAAAGACGGCGAGGCCCGCCACCCGCCTCCGCCTGGCTAATGATTGCATCTTACGATTCAGGCACTCAGACTTGCAGGGGGCAGGGCCCTGTGCTCGGCGAGCTGGAACGCCAGCCCTTTGTACGGGGAGACTGGATGCGCCGGGTCAATTTCTTAATTCTCATCGCAATTCGGTTCACGGGAGAGACTCCCGGAATGTCTTTATCCATCACAGATGGTTTGGGAAGATGATAAATTAATATTGTTATCCAAGGAGGCGCGGCCGAAATGGTTAAATGGCAACCCCTTCTTTGCACCCTCTGCAAAGAAGGAGAGCCCCCCGAATCCATAAAGCAGACAAATGGTCAACAAAACCTCCCATCTTTTGACAGATTCCAAGACAAGGATCATTCACAGACTGCTCTGCGGAGAAAAGGGAGAAATTTATCTCATCTGACTTTGTATAGGACAGCAGCCCGCAGCAGAATGAGGCCGTCCCAGTGCTGTGAAATCGCCCTGAATAGCCAGAGAGTGCAGCCGCCTGTTCCCTGGGCATGTTTATTACGGTCCTTTGTATGCACCAACCCAGCCAGCCCCAGTGTGCTTCTAAACCAGGGGAAGGAGGAGAAAGAACCCAACAAATTTGTTGCTATGAAACTTCCCAAATGGAAGACTGCATAATAACCCTGGGGACCGAATGCCCTTGCTCCAGGCTGTTCTTGTCTGGGTCCACCCCTGCTCCACCACGAACAAGGCCCCAGTCAGCCAATCGCCAGCAGTGTATGGGTGGCCTCGGCCCCCCCGGCCTGGGACCCCTCCCAGGCCCTGGGAAGTCAGGGAGTACACAGGGCGCCCCCCCCTCAGGCCATGCCCAACCTGACTTGGGAGCTCAGAGCTTTGCTGAGTGCCCCTGTGTAACAAAGCAAGGAAGTGCGGCTTCCTCCCCCAACCCCAGGGCCTATGACGGGGCTCCCTGGGACTTGGGGGTAGTGCCACACACAGGGCAAAGCATCCAAAAGCAAAATGCTGGGGCCAAAGTGCATCCACTAGGGAGCCATTTCTGTGAGGCCCCAGGCAGACAAGTGGTGGTGGGGGTGGGGGTTGGCTCCAAGGCCCCATGGGAAGACCTCCAGGGCAGGTGGTTACCCATGGGGCCTTGGGGCCAAGGGCATCTGAACTTTCCCCAAGGCTGATTCCCACCGCCATCTCAGGGTCCCTCTTTGGGAGAAAGGGTCCCTCGGGGAAAGTGAGAATTCAGAGCGCTCACCTCTGCTAAGGCGGGGAACGCCAGGAAAGGAAAGAGCAGACAGAAAAGAGCTGGGTCGTTCAGGTCGTATTTTTTTTTGCTCCCCTGTCACAGAACAGATGTTTTCTCATCGGTCATGCAGAAGGCATGGCTTCTCTTCACCAATCAGGAGTCAGGATCCTTAAAGCTCTTGTCTTTCCTCACCAATCGGAAGGGCAGGTTCCATGAAGCACAGTCCTCACCAATCATGTGGCAGATTCCACATGTATTTTCTCACTAATCAGAAGGCAGGGTCCTTGAAGCATTGTCTTTCCTCACCAATCAGAAGGCAGATTGCATGAAGCAATGTCTTCCCTCACCAATCAGAAGGCAGGATCCTTGAAGCATTTGTTATTTTTCTTCCTCAATGAAGAGGCACTGAGCGCTCCCCGTTCCCTGCCACACTTCCTCAGCAGGGCGGTATTTGTGTCTTTCCAGGCAGAATCCACCCTAAATTTTCCTCTCTCCTGAGTTCTTCTCCCAGGATCCCCACCAGAGCTGGGGACAACTGCTGTCCAGGGTAGAAGGGGAAACAGCCACCAAGGCTGACCATAACGCTGCCAATTATAAACCAGGAGTACTCCCTCGTCGGCGTGCACCTGTCCCTCTAGAAGCCAGAGCAGCAGGCCCTGGAGTGGCTTCCCAGCACCTCTCATGGTGAGTGGGTAGGACTCACAGTCCCTGTCCCTGCCCACAGCATCAGAGGGGAGGGTGGAGATGACAAAGGCCTGGCTCCTTCCTCCTGCTGGGGGACATGCATGATAAGACAGGACCGGTACCCTTCCTTGTGGAACACAGATCTTCTCACCCACAGGCACTGGAATGCCCATCTGAGCAGCCACTTCACTGTTAGTTAAAACTTCTCAGCTGAACCTTCAAGAAATCTATGCACAAGGCAGCTCCTTACAAGATTCTGGACTCCCTCTTTATTCTTTTTTTTTTTTTGACAGGCAGAGTGGACAGTGAGAGAGAGAGACAGAGATAAAGGTCTTCCTTTTTGCCATTGGTTCACCCTCCAATGGCTGCCGTGGCCGGCGCACCGCGTTGATCTGATGGCAGGAGCCAGGTACTTCTCCTGGTCTCCCATGGGGTGCAGGGCCCAAGCACTTGGGCCATCCTCCACTGCACTCCCGGGCCACAGCAGAGAGCTGGCCTGGAAGAGGAGCAACCGGGACAGAATCCGGCGCCCCGACTGGGACTAGAACCCGGTGTGCCGGCGCCGCAAGGCAGAGGATTAGCCTAGTGAGCTGCGGCACCGGCCCCCTCTTCTTCTTTTTAGTAAAAGACTCAACAGATGCTTTGGGTCCAGGTAAAGGAGTTGGAGACCTTCCAACAATGCTCTTTGAAAACTCAAAGCCAGGGCTGGTGTTGTGGCACGGTAGGTTAAGCCAGCACCTGCAATGTCTGTGTCCCATATGTTCAAGTCCTGGCTGGTCCACTTCTGATCCAGCTTCCTGCCAATGCACCTTGGAAAGGCAGCAGAAGATGGCCCGAGTACCTGGGCCCCTGCTACCCATGTGGGAGACTCGGAAGAGGCTCCTGGCTTCATTATGGCCCAGCCCTGGCCATTGTGGCCATGTGGGGAGCAAACCAGCAGGTGGAAGATCTCTCTTGGGGCTGGTGCTGTGGTATAGTGGGTGAGGCTGCTGCCTGTAGTGCTGGCATCCCATGTGGGTGCTGGTTCGAGTCCCAGCTACTCCACTTCCAATCCAGCTCTCTGCTGTGGCCTGGGAAAGCAGCAGAAGATGGCCCAAGTCCTTGGGTCCCTGCACCCATGTGGGAGACCCAGAAGAAGCTCCTGGCTCCTAGCTTCAGATCTGCCTGGCTCCGGCCATTGTAGCCATTTGGGGAGTGAACCAGCGGATGGAAGATCTCTCTCTCTGTCTCTCCCTCTCTCTGTCTATAACTCTATACCTCTCAAATAAATAAATCTTTAAAATTTAAATAAGAAAGAAAGAAATGAAAGAAAAGCCAAAGCCATCTCTGCCCACATCTCCAGGACATGACAAATCTTTCTTCCCTTTGTCTGGGCTACCATTCTAGTCCTCTGCCCTAACCTGCGGGGGCATTGTCTCCCGGAAACAGCCCGGCTACCCTGATGCTCAAATTTTTCTTGGCTACCAGCAGCGGCAGCCGTAAGTCCACAGATGGGGAAGAAGGGCCTGCTTCCACCTTGGGAGCCACGCTGCTCATCCCGGTGCACTCAGGACTGACACTTCTCCTGGAGGAGGCAGCCTGGGAACCTGGTGGGGATTTTGCGAGCAGGGCCAGGTGCGGGCCCCCTGCTCAACATGGGGCCGGCTTGGCTGCAGATCCGCTGCCACCAACTGCTCTGAAGCCCTCCATGATTTCGGAATAAGGCACCTGCTGTGCACTGGGCCCTGCAAATGACACAGTTAAGTCCTGCACACAACTGCAGCACCTGGTGGCTCTCTCGCCTGGAAACTGACACTTCTCCAGGAGGATGTCCCTTCTGCAGCTCGTCACCTGGGCCTCGGTCTGCCAACAGCTCAGGGCCCTCTTGCTGTGCACGTGTCTCAGGACCCTGCGCGTGCTGAGCCCCCCGAAGTGGTTATCTCCTTGGAAGTAGCTGGGCCCCAAGTTTTGGTAGAACCTTGGTTCCCAGAATTCCCAAAAGCTAACATGGCAGGGAGACTCCACATCTCACACACTCCAGCACCGCTCAGCCTCCTGGCATTTCACCGGCTCCTGGGTCAGCTGACCACAACCTCATTGTTGTTGGCGGGAGAAAAACAAACAGCCGAAAGTTAAGAAATTAGCACTTGCTTCAGTGAACGAAAATAGAGTCTCCCATCTCCTAATTTTTTTTGTTGTTCTGAAAAGTGAAGCTATTTGCAAATGGATTAGATGTTCCTTCGGAGAACGCTGGTCCTGTGTGCTCAGGGACTGGGGGCAGGGGGTAGGGGCCCACGTCCAAAGAAGAAGCGCGTGGGTTTGGGAAAAGAGAGTCCTTTGTCCTGGCCTTAAGTCTCCCATGGTATGCGGCACACCTGTGCGAAGGAGAAACCCTGGAGGGGGAGGGGAGGAGGTGTCGATAGCAGGGGCAGGAGCCCCGCACCCTCCTAGGGGATCACACCTCCTCCTTTCTTCTCCTTTGAGCCTTGTCTTCCGAGCCCCTTTGTTTGGGCTCACACCTCCAAATACCAGGGAGGGGTGTGTGTGTGTGTGTGTGTGTGTGTGTGAGAGAGAGAGAGAGAGAGAGAGAAATGACCTCAGCCCATGCAGATCTGCAGGGAACCCAGAAAGAGGACACACTGAAGGGGCACGGGGAACGGAGGGAGGGTGGAGGGAGGCGTGGGGTGCCCACGGCTGCCCTGCCTACCTCTGCAGGCCTTCCGGTGGGTGATGGGCTTGCCCATGTCGCGGTAGTAGCCCTCCTTGCAGTAGTGGCAATGGCGGCCGGCGGTGTTGTGGCGGCAGTTCAGGCAGACGCCCCCGCTCTTGCGCCCCGAAAGCTTGTAGAGCTCCATGTTGAAGCGGCAGCGCCGCGCGTGCAGGTTGCAGTTGCAGGCTGTGGGGGAAGACAGGAAGAGACCCTCAGCGCGGGGTGCTGGGAGATCGGGCACCCGTGGGAGCCAGGTGAGAGTCTGTTCCCCAGCCCCTTCTCCATTCCTGCCGCTGGGCTGGGCAGGGAGAGGTGTGCGGCTCCCCCTGTTTGCACCCCCTGGCAAGGACCTGAGAACCGTGGCAGAGACCGCCCCCAAATCTGCATGCTCAAGTCCTAACCCTCGCTCCCTGGAAAAGCCACTGCCATTGGCGACCAGGTCTTCAAAGAGGTAACTGGGTTAAAACAAGGCCTTTCGGGCAGGTCCTAGTCCAAGCTACAAAAAGGCCATCTGCACACCCCGGGAGACACCAGCAATGCGCGCGCACGGCACGGCGAGGACAGAGGGAGAAGGCAGCCTCAGGAGGTGGCAACACTACCCACACCTGGAGCTCAGGTTTCCCACCTCCGGAGCAGGGGCAGGGAATGTCCTGCCCAAGGGCCAAGAAATCCCTGGGTCTGGACTGCTAAAGCAACCTGCAGGTGAGACTTGAAATTCCATAAATCTACAGCAGGCTGACTTCTAGGTTGACAATTGTGTGTGGCTGTTGAATAATGTTATAAAGATCCAAAGGGCCCTTGAAAAAAAAAAACATGCACCCCGCCCCCCCCCCCCCAGCTCCAAAGGGTGAGAGGCTGGTGCTTCAGGACCACCCCTCCAAAATCCCACGTGCTTGTCACAGCAGCTGAGCAGACTGGCACACAGCTCAAGGCCCCTGCCCTGGAGGATTCTGGGGCCAGGTGCACCCCCTTCCTCCCAATGTCAGCCCTGATGGCTCAGTTCTGTGGAGGGTCTGCTCTGCCCTGGACCCTCCTCTGCCTCCTCTCTGACTTCCCCCCTCCTGGGCTTGCTTCCCTCCATCTCCTCCCTGTGCACCTGTCTGGGGACTCGGCACCCTCTCCCCACTGCCCTAATGCCCCTGGGACCTGTCTCCTGGACCCCTCATCAGCCCTGGCCCCCTACTCCCAAACCTTTACAAGGACACTTCAAAAAGTTCACAGAAAACTGAATGAAAAGATAAGTTTATTTTGGTGCAAAAATTTTTTGAAATCCATGTATACAGGGGGTCCTGGAAAAGTTTGTGGTATATACATTAATATAATGCATCTGGGCACGGCTTTGTGGTGCAGCAGGTTGAGCCACCTCCCGCGGCACTGGCGTCCAATATGAGCACTGGTTCCAGGCCCAGTGGCTCTACTTCCTATCCAGCTCCCCACTAACGCGCTTGGGAAGACAGTGGAAGATGGCCCATGTATGTGCCCCCCCCGCCCCGCCCCTGCCTCTCTGTCATCTCCCTTTCTCTCTGTAACTCTGCCTTTCAAATAAATAAATCTTTTAAAAATTCTATTTTAAAAACAGACTCCTACAGAAGCTCATCTTCTGATTCCATTTTCCACGAGCCTTCTGAAGCACTCTCATCTCTCCAGATTTGGGTTTGAACCCAGGGCCGCCTCTCCCACGTCCCCTCACCTGGGAGCCGAGCTCCACAGGCTACCCTCAGCGCCACACGGTCAGCCCTTCATATCCACACACCTGCATCTGTGGATTCAACCAATCTTTGGTTTTGAACCACCTTTGTTTGAACCACCTTTGAACAAGTGCATCTGAACTCTGCTCTGCCTGTTGCACAGACTTCTCAAGACAGCACTGTTGGGTTAAATTCCAGATCCACATTTTTTTTTTTACTTCACATCCGAAGTGCCAAAGTGCCCTGCAAAAAGTCTGTACTAGCTAAGCCTCCCACCAGCAGGATATGAGCGCTCCACTGACTTGCCACATCCTTGAAAAGAACAACAGGACACACTGGGTATCATCACTGTTTTTTTTTTTTTTTTTAAGCATTTGCCAATCTGAGGGAAAAACATACACATGATTTTAATTTGCATGTCTTTTGATTATGAGGGAGGCCAGATGCCTTCTCCATGTATTTTCCTATTTATAATTTCTCTTCTGTACATTGCCTGTTCATGCCATTTGCTCATTTTTCAAATAAAGTGGGTTTCTCCCCCACGCTGTCCAGTGCTCTTACAATGGCTTAAAACTGTTTGTGTTTTCCACCATACAAATATTGTTACCAGCTTCTTACTCAGATATGACTTTTATTTGTGATTTTTAAAAGATCTGCATGTTTAATTTTTCTCTCTGATGTTACGATAAACTTCATTAAGTGTTCTTCTAGACCCACCCTCCAATGACTCCCCCATGAGTCACTCCATTACAACAGGGAATGAACAAGGCCTTGGAGGAGACCCTAAGGCAGCTCACGCCCTCAAGTCTGGAAGCAGCCAGAAGCCAAACCAGACCAGAAAATGACTGCTGGAAGTGGCACTAAGGGTCCCCAAGGGCTGAGCTCAGCCAGGCGCAGAGAAGCTGCGGCTGCACTCTGCCTTACCTAGGAATGTCACACTTGATGCACACTCACTGTCTCTTTGGACTCAGCCAGACAAGGGTGCTGGGGGCTGCGGAGGGAGAGGTAGTGAGCAGCCAGCCCAGGTCCCCTGGCTCCAGGTCCACTGGGTCTTTCCTCCAACCACAGTCACCATAGAGCCTGGCACACTTGCCCAGGGACACAGACCTGGAAGGCTCACCCAGGTCTCACTTCCTCAGGCCTCCCTTGTCCCACGAGAGGCCCACCCCCTACCCGCCCAGTCCTGCATCCCCAAACCTGGGCCTAGGCCTTGGAGCCCCTCCTGGGAGCTGGGCACCCCCTTACCGCCCCCCACCCACCTCCACCACCAAGGGGAAGCCTGGGCTGGGATCTCTTTCCCATATGCACCTGACACCAACAAAAGGTACCTCCCAAACAACTGGTCGCACAAAAGAAAACTCCAGGGCCCAACATCAAAAGGCAGGGCTCCCCCGGCTCCCCCCTTCTGCGAGCTGTCAGAGGACATCAAGTGACAAGCGCCCACGCTCAGACTTGTGCAAAGTATTTTACTGCTTGTTTTCTTTCCCCTTTGTTTTATTTTCTCTACGCAGATGGAAAAATGCACCGGGCAAAGCAGCTCACATCTGGATCCCTGGGCGCCACAAAGAGGTGTCACCCAACGCCCGGCCTGTCCCCAGCCCCTTCCTCAGAAATGCACCTTAATCCCCTCATGCCTTCCTGTTTACCTCCTCCTTCTCTCAGAGGCAAAAATATTGGGTATTAGTTTCATTATCGGATTTCAAGGCGGGAAGGAAAGGGCAGCTTTGTGCAAAGAGAGGTCAGCCTGGGGGGTGGGGAGGGGGGGTGGGGGATGCTGAGATAGCCCGAGCCACCAGCACAGCCGGGGAGGGGGCTCTGCCTCTTCTCCGGGGATCCCTCAAGCACACAGAGGAACCCTGGCCTCTAAGCCTTCACTCTGCTACCATGTGGGCCCACCACAGATACATGGCATGTGGCTGCATTTCAGGTCCAGGCCGAAACAAGGAGTAGGGGGTAGGAGCACCAGAGGGTCCCCCTCTCCACCACTCAACTGGAGACCAGAAAGAAACAGGGGCCCCTGTTTACCTTTTCCATCAGAAAGTCCTATTTTCACACATGCCTGGGACTACTTCCTAGCTCCCAACATTCCTCAGAACCTCTCCCACCAACCTGGAATTGCCATTCCACTGAGATCAGTTAAATGCCACACAGGTTCCCGTCTGCAGCTCTGCCGTGGGCTACGTGGGACATGGAGATGGAGGAGGCCCTTCTGCTGTGCAAGGGCTCCCTACCTCACACAGGGAGGGGGCAGAGGAGCCTCCACATCAGCATACTGCTTGATCAAGTGAGACAAGCGCTCTCATTAATTGTGTGGATTCACTGAGGCCAGGGACAGCACTGGCTCTTATGTCCTCCAGCCCAAAGCAGGCCTCAACAATTTTTGTTGTACCAATGAGAGGAAGAAGAGATGGTTGGATGGGTGGGTGGGTGGATGGAAGTGGGGGAGGTAGGTGACTGGATGGGGGAGTTATGGATGAACGGAGTTATAGGGGGATGGATGGATGATAGGCAAGTAGGTAGGTAAGTAGATGGGTGATGGATGGATGGATGGATGGGTGGTTGGATGGAGTAGGTGGTAGGTAAATGGACAGATGGATGGAGTTGTGGGGAGATGGATGGATGATGGGCAAGTAGGTAGGTAAGCAGATGAACAAACAGGATAGAGGAGTCACTGCCTGGACGACACTCCGACAGGACACAGCCTTGAGGCCGGCGCAGTGGTGCAATAGGTTAATCCTCTGCCTGCTGTGCCGACATCCCATATAGGCACCAGTTCTAGTCCAGGCTGCTCCTCTTCCAATCAAACTCTCTGATATGGCCTGGGAAAGCAGTAGAAGATGGCCCACATCCTTGGGCCCCTGTACCCACATGGGAGACCAGGGAGAAGCACCTAGCTCCTGACTTCAGATCAGCGCAGCTCCGGCCATTGTGGCTATTTGGGGAGTGAACCAATAGAAGGAAGACCTTTCTTTCTGTCTCTCCCTCTCACTATCTATAACTCTACCTTCAAATAAAATATTTAAAAAAAAAAAGACACACAGCCTTGTGACATTTCTTTACTGTTGTTTCGAATTCCTTTGAGCTCATCTTGCTGTTTCAACTTATCAGCTAGCTCCTGTCCACTCAGGCAGACGGCAGTGCCCTGTGCAGACGAGGGTCCTGGACACTCCCGAGGACGCTGCATAGAGAATGCACAGGGAGACCTCATCTGCATCTGTGGGTCTGATGACAAAAAGGCTGATAAATGAAGCCCCAATCCACCAGCACCGTCCCAGGCCCAGAAAGCAGCGGCAGACATTCTAAGTCATGTCCTGCACCGCACTCTCAGAGACTCTGGCCTGGGGCTCTCAGTGGGATGAAAAGGCCATTTGGCCATGGGCCTCATCAGGGGGCACCCCTCTTGGCCTCGGGGCCTCTCCTCTGCCCTCCCTCCAAGGGCAGGGCTACTGAAAAGTCACCCTGGTGGAATAATGGACTCAGGCATCTGCAGCTGAACCA